GTGCGTGTCCATGTGTGTGTGTGTGTGTGTGTGTGTGTGTGTGTGTGTGTGTTACAAATTATCACCACAACTTCCTCTATTCCGCCCAGATGAGTAGATCCAAAGTCATAGCAACTTTACCTATATTGCAGACAATGAAGCATGCTGTGTGTGACGACAAACCATTCAACAGCTGTCTTTTGTGACCGCAAGCCACGCAACAACTATGAACGTTCGCTCCATCAACAACCCCACCCCTGCCAATCCCCTTCACAAACCCCCTACCCCCCTGCTCTCCCACCTGCAACCATCATTCAACCGTTAGCACACCAGCCTTCTGCAACAACCCTGGAAACCACACCAACTGTTTTAGACTTATGCACAGTCAGTACCTTTCCACACTGGCCTGAACTTCCTCGATACCTGCTAAGTCCTCTTCAAAAACCTGCTTCCCTCCTTGGTACCCTTGACAACCCATCTCCCTCTGCTCATCCACCTCCACAAAGCCTCTTCGGCTCCCCTCCCACACCTTCAATCACAGTCAACAGAGCCCCCTGACCCCATCCGAAGCTCCTTTCGCCCCTCCCTCTGCATCCGCCAACCCTGGGTATATCCTTGACAACCCCACCTCACACTACCCATCCATCCCCCCCAGCCTCTTATCTCCCTCCAACACCTGCCATCCCTCTCAACAGACCCCTCTAACCCCCCCATGACCTCCCCCTGTAGCCTCCAACCCCAGTCAATACCCCTGGTGCCCTCCCGCACCCACCACCGCCTTGTTGACAAGGCCTTCCCGAGTTGTGCAAAAGCCACTGAAAACACAAAACTTCCCTCAGCCAAGCCAAAGCGTGAATGCAGACTTCGTTAAACCACGGTCAGTACATCCGAAAAAGCAGATTGCACCTCTCCTAAAAATTTGGAGGCCATGGCCCGTCAATAAAATGAATCGGCGGTTCACTTTTCCGGAGAGGCTCGATCTGCTTTTTCAGAGGCCATGAACCGTCGAAACCCTACGGCGTGCAGTGAAGGGGCACATTCTTAGAGTCACTTACCGATCTCTTCCGTGAGGTTGTCCCACTTAAACCTGTGGAGGTATTTAATATTCCACAGATCAAAATGGAATGCGGACCGCCGTTTGCCTCCTGTAAGGTGACCAGACACCACACAACCGACAGTCAGCGTGGTATTATCGATCAAATGATTCAAATCCCATCCCCTTGAATCCACCAAAACAACACCACAACATAAAGATAGCCATCAACTGCCCTTCTATCCACTGCCAAAAAGATTGGCAAATTGCTATGTCAACACCTGTGTAGCACACCGAGTGTGTTCAGGGCTTTCGCAAACGCCCGAACACGTTCGGGTGTTCGGCCGAACACCTTCCAAACGTATTTGGTCGAACTTTCTTTTTTACGTTTTTTATTTTTAACTTGCGTTTGGCTAAGAATTTGAACATGCCTCCCAGGCAAAAGTGGTTTGTATTATTGTTTTACATAACATATATTTTTTTCAGATTTCTCTGCGACTTGTATATATCTATATATGTCACAAAATTTCAGAGCGCAAAATGCGTAAAAAAAAAAGGAAGAAAAACAGGAAAAAATGAATTCAGTTTTTTATCTTCTTCCTTATAACTCCCCCTGTTTAGAACCTCTATAGTCAAACAGAGCTGCCCGGTAAACCGCAGGCAGAGAGGGAGAAGAGGACAACAAACGAGGGGCTGTGGCAAACTGTTTCGTCGGAGTTTCACCGACCCATCAGGAGGCTGAACCCTCAACAGTCTGCAGAATCCCCTAACTGATACACTGTAAGTGATAATCCACCTTAACCCCGGCTGTGGTTAAGCATCAACGGCTGCCCGACAACTGATACCCTGAGGTGGGCACCAACCATATATATACACGCCTCTGACCATTGGGAGGTGTGGAACGACGGTGTCATGGTCCATGCCATGATTGATATTACTGATTTCTTACTCTATGATGCTGTTCTCTTGCCACATCAAACTGTC